GGGGGTCCCGGTCCCGGTGGCGGGGGGGGGGCGGGGGCACCGGGAGCACCGGGGGGGGTCGGGACGGAGCCCGGAGCGCTCCCGAGCCTCTGGCTGCCCTCCCGGTCCCGGTGGCGGGGGGGGGGGCACCGGGAGCACCGGGAGGGGTCGGGACGGAGCCCGGAGCGCTCCCGAGCCTCTGGCGGCCCGCAGGGACCGCGCCCGGAACACCGGGGTGATCTCGTGCACCGTGTGCCTGGAGGAGTTCCAGACCCCCATCACCTGTATCCTTACCGGGACCCCCCCCGGGACCCCCCGGGACCACCCCGGGACCCCCCCAAATCCGCGTTGGAGCCTTAACGGCGCCCCCAGACCTGTCGGAGCCCGTGGACGTTTACAGCGACTGGATCGACGCCTGCGAGGCCGCCAACCAGTGACACCGGGGGGACACCGGGAGGGCGGCACCGGCCGGTGCCCAACGGCCGGCGGGGCCGGGACCCCCCCGGGGCTCGGTGTCCCCCGGGCAGTGACCCCCGGGGCTCGGTGAGCCCCCAGCCGTGTCCCTGTCCCCTCGGGGGGGACACCGGCGACAGCGGCGCTGCAATAAACGGCCCGAGCCGGTGGCACCGGTGTCCCCCCGTGTCCCTTTGTGCCCCCCGGTGTCCCCCGGTGTCCCCCCCGGTGTCCCCGCACTGTCCCAGCGCTGTCACCTCTGCGTGTGGCTTTTATTGTGCCTCGGTGGCTTCACACGTGGCGGGGACCGAACGCCCCGGGACCGGAACCGGAACGGGGACTGAACCCGGAACCGGCACCGGAACCGATCCAGAAACCGGGACTGAACCCCCCGGGACGGGAACCGGAACCGGGACTGAACCCGGGACCGAACCTGGGACTGATACCGGGATTGATACCGGGACTGAACCCCCCGGAACCGGGACTGAGCCTGAACCCGGAGCCGGACCCTGAACCGATCCCGGGGCCGTTCCTGGGGCTGACACCGGGACTGGATCCCGCGGAACCGAACCCCCCGGGGCTGACACCGGGGCCGATCCCGGGCCGGATTCCCCCCGGGCCCGTTCCCGGGGCCATCCCCAGCACGGTTCCCCGCCGGCTCCGCTCGGTCCGGGATCCGAGCCCGGGATCGTTCCCGCCCTGGGGGGCCGATGCTCGGTGCCGGTGCCGGTGCTGCCCCCGCCAGGAGCGCTCCCGGAGCCGATCCCGGAGCTGATCCCGAACCCGGAGCCGGTCCCGGTGCTGCCCCTGTCAGGAGCGCTCCCGGGACTGATCCCGGGGCCGATCCCGGTGCCGATCCTCCCAGGAGCACTCCCGGTGCCGGCGCTGCCCCCGTCAGGAGCGCTCCCGGAGCCGATCCCGGTGCTGGTCCCAGTACCGATCCCGTTCTCAGTCCCGATCCCGATCCCGGTGCCGGTGCTGCCCCTGTCAGGAGCGCTCCCGATCCCGGGGCCGTTCCCGTTCCCGGAGCCGTTCCCGATCCCGGTCCCGGAGCCGTTCCCGGTCCCGGAGCCGTTCCCGGAGCCGTTCCCGGTCCCGAAGCCGTTCCCGGTGCCGTTCCCGATCCCGGTCCCGTTCCCGGTGCCGGTGCTGCCCCTGTCAGGAGCGGTCCCGATCCCGATCCCGGGGCCGATTCCGGAGCCGTTCCCGGAGCCGTTCCCGTTCCCGATCCCGATCCCGTTCCCGATCCCGATCCCGTTCCCGGTCCCGTTCCCGATCCCGGTCCCGTTCCCGGTCCCGTTCCCGGTGCCCGGCGCGGCGCGGTGAGGCCGGTGCTGACGAGCGGTGCTGTCGGGCTGCAAGCGGCCGCGGGGCCGGCGGCTACTGCGAGTTGTAGAATCCACCGGGCCCCCCGGGGCCGTCGAGGCCGTCGAGGCCGAGCAGCTCGGGGCCGCCGCAGTACTTGGGGTCGTAGACCTGGCGCGGCAGCCCGTACACCGTCATGCCGGTCTGCGACGCGCCCTTGTTGCTGCCCATCTGCAGCCCGATGGTGCCCGTGTCGCAGCGCTCCATGCCCAGCGCCGGCTCGAAGATCTGCCGCTTGGTGCCCGGCGCCGTCATGCCCGCCTGCCCGGGGAGCGGAGCGGGCGGTGGGCACGGGAACCAGCACGGGAGAGGATCGGGGGAGTGGGCACGGGAGCGGGGCGGGGCGGTGGGCGCGGGAACCGGACCGGGGGAGTGGGCACAGGAGCGGGCCGGGAGAGTGGGCACGGGAGCGGGCGGTGGGAACGGGAGTGGCTCGGGGCGATGGGCACGGGAACCGGACCGGGGCCGTGGACACGGGAGCGGATCGGGGTAGTGGGCACCGGAACCAGCACGGGAACCGGACCGGGGCCGTGGGCACGGGAGCGGAGCGGGGCGGTGGGCACGGGAACCGGAGCGGGGCGGTGGGTACCGGAACCGGCTCGGGGCGGTGGGCACGGCACGGGCAGCCCCAGGGACGCCGCGGGGTGCGGGGGGTCCCTCTGTGCTCCCCGTGCTGCCCGCGGGGTGTCCGTGCCCGCATTGTCCCCCGTCTGTCCCTCCCGGTCCCCCGTCTGTCCCCTCTCTGTCCCTTGACGCCCCCCCAGAGCCCTCTGTCCCCTCCGCTCCCTTTGTCCCCCTAGTCCGGGACATCCAAGTCCCCTGCTGCCATCCCTCCGCGTGTCCCCTGTGGTGGCAATGTCCCCGTGTCCCCCCACGGTGGCATGTCCCCTCAGTGTCCCGTGTCCCCCCATGGTGGCAGTGTCCCCGCAGTGTCCCCATGGTGGCAGTGTCCCCGCGGTGTCCCCGCGGTGTCCCCGCGGTGTCCCCACCTGGCTGGCGCCCTTGTTGGTGCCCATCTGGAGGCTGATGGTGGCCTGGTCCAGGGGCTGGTCTGTCCCCAGCTTGGGGTCGTACAGGTGTCGCCGTGTCCCGTACGCCGTCATGCCCTGCTGGCTGGCGAACTTGTTGGTGCCCATCTGGGGACAGCGACAAACGCGGCGTCACCCGCTGTCCCCGGGGCGGGGCGGCCCCGCCCGCCGTGTCCCCCGGGTGTCCCCCGGGTGTCCCCCGGGTGTCCCCAGGTGTCACCTGCAGCCCGATGATGTTCCTGCCCTCGCGCAGCTTCTCGGGCTGGAAGCGCCGCTGCTGCTTCTCGGCGTATTTCACCCCCAGCCCCACCTTGTTGCCCTTTGTCTTGGCCTGGGGGGCACCGGGGGGGTTTAGGGGGGCTCACGGGGCCCCCCAGACCCCAAATACCGGACCTGGACCCCAAATACCCTCCCCAAACCCCAAATACCAGACCTGGACCCCAAATATCCTCCCCAAACCCCAAATCCCTCCCCAAAACCCAAATCCCTCCCCAGACCCCAAATACCCTCCCCAGACCCCAAATCCCCTCCCCAAACCCCCAATTCCCTCCCCCGACCCCCAATCCCATTCCCCC